GATATAATGATACACACCACTGGGTATGCTAACACGCAGAACACTCTTAACTCTGTATTAGACTCATGTCAGGACCTAGGATTAATTATCTCAGCAGAGAAAACAAAGATACTAAATCGGCGCCCACCCAGGCAGGGAGGAGCTGTTCGCAAGATGCAACTGTCTGATGGCTCCCAGCTTGACTATGTAAACAGATTCAAATACCTTGGCCTTGAGGTGCCACTGTATGGTCCTGTTGTATTCAGACTCTGTCATCAGTATACAGAGAGGCTCCGAGCTCTCAAGGCTGTTGCAGGTTATCACTCAGGCTATGGTGCCAATGTCAGAATTGTCAAAATGATGTACCTTGCATACATCAGATCTTTAGTGGATTATGCTGCACCTCTGCTTGTTTTGATGCCTGAAAGAAAGCTTGGAGGGCTTGAAAAGTTGCAGAACGAAGCCTTGAGGATAATCCTTGGGTGCCCTCGTACCACAAAGGTACTTAATATGAGAAAGGAACTTAATATTCTGAGCGTTGTTGATTGTGTTACTGAAATTAACTGTCAAATTGGTATAAAAATGCTTAGGGTAACTCATCCTAATCCTTGCACAGAAGCCCTCCAGAATTTCTTTATTGAAGATCAGCATTGTTCCAAATGGATAACAAAAACTTGAACTCAACTCAGAATGTATCAGGTTCATGATTTGTACCAAGAGAAACAACAACGGCACTTTCCTGCACCATGGGAGGTTACACCCTTTCCAGTTTTAATCCCTCCCTTTCCACCCAAGAAGCAAATTAGAGATCAGCCCAAGCTTCGTCTTGAGGCAAAGCTCAACGCCTTAACCCATATTGATGCTCTGTCCACAGAGCATTCTCTCTCTCAAATCATATACACTGATTGTTCCCTACACCGCACCACGGGTGCAGCTGGAAGTGCAGTTGTTCTGACAATGGGCGATGGCTTGTACTTTTGAGTGTGGAGTCTGTATAAGCAATTGGGCCTCTACTCTTCAGACCGAACTATTTGCCTTGATCCTTGCACTGAAATGTGTACAAGTCTCCAAACTTGATACATTAATTGTAAGTGACTCCTTATCATCCTTAAATGCTCTCAACTCTTTAAGACATAACTGTAACATGCTCGTGTCCAAAGCTAGACACAAATACAACAAAATTATTAAGGATGGTAACAGAGTCCATTTCATGTGGTCTCCATCTTATGTTGGCCTCCGAATGCATGATAGAGCTGATAAGTTAGCCAAAGAATCTGCCTTTAAAGGAGCCGTTGAGTGTAACCTTGGATTGTCCATGAGCAATCTGAGAGCAGCAGTACACCGAGAACTTCAACAAGATCTTGTAGATCTGAGGCAAAGTGAAATTGACACCAGTAATTCCATCTATCATCATACTATCATGCAAGAGGAGCCACACATCTATGGATCATCCAATAAAATCAGCAGACTTCTAGATGTTACTACTGCTCGGCTTAGACTCGGTTACAAGTATCTCTGGGAATTTTCATTATCTGCTGATGTAGACCTGACCAAATGTAAACTGTGTCAACAAAATTATTCGCACACCCTCCGTCACTATGTGATGGAGTGCGAAAAGATACATGAATTTAGAGACAATTCTATAACCAATGTTCCAGCGATGTGTAAATATTTCATTCAAAATTATCTGCTACCAAAAATTTTAGCCAAATATCCCCAGTTTGGTAACTGTAGGTAGTAACTGAGTGATTGTAACCGATCCACCGCTGCCCACTGGATGGGGGGCGGTGTGCAGGACAAACATAAATTTTGACACTAGCTCTCCATATATGTCAGTTGCTTAATTTAGAACCTGTACTTGAGGTCAATCTCGAACCCATTGTTGATGTGACGACTTATATTGAATTTTGTAACTAGCTCAAGATTGTAACTTGCTTAGCTAAGTGAATTGTGGGGTTCAGTCCCTGAGCCCATTATGTGCCTCTGTAACCCTTTCCACTACTGCCCACAAGATGGGTATGGGGTGCATAATAAATGAACTAAACTAAACTTTGGTGGCATTGGGGGGGGGGGGGGGGAAGTTCGTAGAGTAGGCTTCTTCCCCGTCTCTATCTGGTCATCTTGTAGTGGGTTCCTTTGGGCATGGTCGAAACAACTTCATCCCTCAAGTGGGTTTCTTGCTTGTTTCCGGCTCTGAAACGGGACTGCAAATCTTCGGTTCATTCTCGACATGTCCTGTCTGAACCGTTTGATTCCTTGCCCCTCCTTTCGGATGACTATGTTGTCCCAGGTTTGGCTTCTTCTCGTGCCGGGTGCTTGGATGATTTCTTGGACCTCAAGGATGCTTATTGGCATGTATCTATTCATCCGGGGTTCAGGGATTGGTTAGGTTTCATGGTCGGGCATCAGGCTTACCACTTTTGATGCCTTCCATTCGGTCTGAATCTGACATCTAGCTTATTCATGCGTTTAACTAGGGTCGTGGTGGCCCGTCTTCGTCTGCTTGGTATTTGGGTTCTGGCCTACCTCAACGACTGGTTGGTATAGGCTCCCAGCCAGTCTGCATGTCTGCTCGCCAGGGAAATGGTTCTTTCCCAACTTGCTGGGTTCGGGTTCCTGGAGAATTGGCAGAAGTCCTGTCTGGTTCTGTACCGGGTTCGGCCTTGGCTGGGCCTCATGTGAGATTCTCGGACTGCGTTCGTTTGTCTCCCTCCTGTGGCTTTACTCCGGCTGCAGTCTCATCGTCTGCTGCTTTTGAGGGGGACCTGGGTCACTCGGTGGTTGCTCGAGCAGTTATGCGGAAGCCTAAACTTTTCCTTACATGTCTTACTGCTGGGTAGGGTTTGGCTTTGGAGGCTGTTCTGGTATCCTCGGGGGCAGCCCCTTTTGCCTCTCTTGTAATCGCTGGGTTTGACCCCCGGGGTCCTTGCATCGGTTGCTGCGTCTCCGGCTTCCTCTGTGGGTTTTTAAGGGTTTAGTGCCATGGCACCTTCCCCTTCCCTAGCTCGATGTGTTCATGGATGCCTCATCTCTCGGCTGGGGTTTTGTGACCAGCACTCACCAGGCCGGCCAAGGGCTTTGGGCTCCGTCCTTCTGTTGGGCTCACAGCACGGTGTGGGAGTTTGCGACTGAGGCAGACGCTGCAGCAGATTCGGTTACCTCAGGGCTTGGTGATTCGCCTCCATTTGGACTGCTCTCCTGTGGTTCAATGTCTCAACTGGGGTGATGTTCTCTGTGGTCTGTGACTCTTTGGGGCTGGTCGCTTCAGGTAGCTCTCCTGCTGACTTCTCATGGTTTAGCTACCCATACAGTTCACATTCAGGGGGGTGTCTAACGACCTGGCGGACAGCCTGTCTCGCTTCATCCCTATTTCCACAGAGTGGAGGGTCGACACACCCTCCTTCCTTTGATTTTGTCGGACATTCAGGCGCCCGGAGGTGGACCTCTTTGTGTCGGCTTGGTCCCAGCGCCTCCCAATATGCATGGTGCCATTTCCCGATTAGTTGAGGTGGGGGAAGGTTCGAGTTCCTTCATGCCCTGGTCCAGTTGTTGCTTTGGGTTCTGGCTCGGCTCGAATCCTATCGAGGAAGAGTGGTTCTCCTTGCTCCATGGTGGCTGGCCCAGCCTTTGTTTCAGGAACTGCTTGCACGTTGTCCGAAGCCGATGGTTTTTCCGCGGCTCCGCCTCTTTCAGTAGGTCGTGCCAGTGAGGTATCTCACTGGTTTGACTTCCTCTTCCGTGCTTCACGTTGGGGTTTTCTGACGCGGATGCTATTTGTATGATCAGGTGGCTTCACTGCAGTCATCTTCTCAGAGACAGTATGAAGTCTCTTGGAGGTCTTTCTGCCATTTCCTTTCCCTTCATAGGGTTTCGTCTGTGTCTGTTCAGGTAGTTTTGTCTTTTTTTCTTGGCTTTTTTTTGACGGGCATCTCATGTCGAATACTGTCAATTTGTATCGAGTGGTGTTGGCGGAACCTCGCCAGCTTGCATTCGGGATGGATGTCACTTATGCTCTGTTCTGCAAGCTGTCTTGTGCATTTTTTCACCTCCAGCCTGCTCATGCGCCACCTGAGATTTTTTTGTCTTTGGACCAGGTGCTCTCGTTTCTCTCCTCTCCTCTCTGTTGTGGCTCCTTCGGTCTGAGAGTGTTTTTATAAAACTTTGTTCTTGTTGGCTTTAGCCTCTGGGGGTTGGTTGGTGGAGGTTCATGCTCTTCTCCGGCACGGGTTTTTGCTTCTTTGGTCCTGGAGGTCGTTTTGTTCATTTGCAGCCAACTCCTCCTTTTCTGGCGAAGAAATGAGATGGCTGGTTTTCGGAGGGGCCCTTCGGTAGTTGATGCTTGGTTGGTTAGGCCGGGGTGCATCATATTTTGTGTCTGGTTGTGGCTTTATGTCACTACCTGCATGCCACTGGTTCAGCAACTGTGGACGTGCTCTGGGTGGATCCGGTTTTCCTGGTTACCTGTTCCAGGGCTCGTGTGTCTCAGGTTGTCTGCAGGGTTATCAAGTCTTGCCAGCCCTGTTGTCTACCTTCGCTCCTGTGATATGCGGAAATATGGTGCTCTTGCTGCTGTATTTGGAAATATGTTTTGGGTCAATATTCGGGCACAGGGGTTTTGGAAATCGAACAGGTCGCCAGATATCTTTTTGATGGGGAGGAGGTGGGGTGAACTTGCTTTTGCTAGTTTCACAAATTTTCAATCAATTGTTTACATTGTTGGGGGAATTATTTAGGCTGTTTTGAGGCTGCAGTCTGTTTTCTTTTCTGACTTAATGGGTTCCTTCTCATGGTCGTGGCAGACATGAATAAATTAACATAAAATTTTTCATATTGTCACTGGTCCCTATGCACCTTTAGGGGACCAGATTCTGCCTTGTGGTCCTCAGTAGGCCAAATAGAACTCTGCAGCTGATGGCACCTTGTAGTCTGGCACTGAATCAGTATAGCAACTTCAGGGAGACACCGGGGCTCAGCCAGAAAATGGCTTTTCATTACATTCAATGATTTTTTTTTTTTTTCAGGAGTTGAAAGAAAATACTTTTAAAATGGATAAACGCCAAAGTTCATCAAATGTAAATAATTCGTCAGCAGCAAAGAAGCTTAGGTGAGTGTAATAAATTTTTGTATCACATGATCTATTCCATGCATCATTTATTTGTTGAATTATATTTTATATACACGTGCTGTATCAGTTGCTTACACATAACCTGATATAAATTTGCATTGTAATATTATTGCAGAGTACTGCATACATTTGACCCTTTGGCCGTAATATTTTTTAATTGAATAAAATTCTCCATTCCCGTAACATTCGGCTTTTGTTAAACAGAAAGTAGTGTCTGACTCTCATCAGTATTCCAATACAGTACTCTTAAAAATGCCACTACTATTGTTGATTGCTAAACAACCATGAAGTTCATACAATGCCTTTTTTGTCCATGTTATCACATTTAGTTGTTCTCTAAAGAAAAATTGTGACAAGTTCCTAGATTGTGGGATCGTGTAAAATCGGGTAGGATGGCATTGGCACTGCAGTGAATACTAGCATTGGTATATGAGGCCAACGTGGATTTAGAGCAGGAAGATCATGCCTCTCGCAGCTACATGACCACTATGACAAAATCACTGAGGCATTAGAAGAAAAAACAGAATGTGGTATACTCAGACTTCGCAAAGGCATTTGATAAACATGACCATAGAGTGATAGTCCACAAAAATGCGGTCAATAGGAATAACAGGTTATCGTGAGGTTATCTTGAAATGATTTCGGGGCTTAGCGTCCCCACGGCTCAGTCCTCAACCAGGCCTCCTTTTTGTTAACCCCTCCCCCTAGGAAGCAGCCTGTAGCAGCTGTCTAACTCCCAGGTATCTATTTAATGTTAGCTAACAGGGGCAGCAGGGTGAAAGAAACTGCCCATTTGTTCCAGCCTCCAAATGGGATTGAATCCAGAACCTCAGGACTACGAATCCGAAGCGCTGTCCACTCAGCTGTCAGGTCCCTGGTGAGTAGGGGTAAAGTAGGACGGTGAATACAGGGGGAGGTACCAGCTGCTCTTAAATCTACAGATATAGCTCCTCTGCACAAGGGGGGTAGTAAAGCCTTGGCAAAAAATTATAGACCAGTTGCACTAACATCACACATAATAAAAGTTTTTGAAGAGTGATTAGGAATCAAATTTCTAGTTTTATGGAAAATAATGAACTACACAACCCAGGACAACATGGATTTAGAGCGGAATGATCCTGTCTGTCACACATATTCAACCACTATGACAAAATCCCTGAAGCTTTAGAAGAAAAGCAAAATGCATATGTTGTATACACAGACTTTGCAAAGGCATTCGACAAATGTGACCATGGAGTGATAGCACACAAAATGAGGTCAATGGGAATAACTGGTAAAGTAGGACGCTGGATACTCAATTTTCTGTCGAACAGAACACTAAGAGTAACAGTCAATCAAATATAATTGAGTCTAAGCGCAGTTAAAAGCTCTTTACCTCAAGGTACAGTCCTTGCACCACTGCTTTTCCGTATTTTCATATCAGATATAGACAAAAATACAAGTCACAGCTTCGTGTCATCCTTTTGCAGATGACACAAAAATCAGCATGAAAATTACCTCTGCTGAAGACATTGAAAAACTACAAGCAGATATTAACAAAGTTTTTGATTGGGCAGCAGAAAATAACATGATGTTTAATAGTAATAAATTCCAGGTACAATGGGGCCTCGACTTATGATGCTAATCCGTTCCCAGAGACGGATCGTAAGTCGAAGCGATTTTTCCCATAAGAAATAAAGGGAATTGAATTAATCCGTTCCCCACCCTCCAAAATATTAACATACAAATACATTTTATACTGAATACAATGTTTTTTTCTAACTACAATACAGTACCAAAGAGTGTCTTACCTTTATGGAGGGCTCTTGATGGTGTATGGAAGATGGTGATGAGGGGGAAGGAGGAGAGTTGTTCCTGTTTGGAAGGGAAGTCCCCTTCCATTATCACATCAGGCAGCGATGTTTTCTCTGGGGTACTCTCTCTTCTACGTTTTGCCTGAATACCACTAGGACCTGGTTGTGGTTCAGTGCTTGTTTGTCTCACTACAAATTTGTCAAGAGACATTTGTTTTCCCTTCATTTTAACATTTGTCTGTAATGATGCATCACAGTGTCATTGAATAGGTTAAGGCAACGACCTACTGCAGCTTGATTTGGGTGAGTCATTTCAGCAAAGGTTTGCAATTCTTCCCATGCTGCACACATTTTCTTAATTGTTGAGGAAGAGACATTCTGTACTCTTGTTTCTGCTCTATGGTCATCCTTACATGGGTTTTCATATGTTGAGCCTTACCACTGACTTTCCTGGGACTCATGGCATGATGTATAATAATTACTTTAATGATCAAAATGCAAAAAATCACCACAAAAGCGGGATTTCTTATAGGCGGGTAGTTGTAGTAAACTGAGGCAGGTAGGCTGCGTGACTGGGAACCACGCGCTCGGTCGACCTGTACGTGTACCAACAAATATCAGAAGTTGACGACACCATCGGATGTCGAGTCGCATTTTTCGATGAAATTCACATCGTAACTCAAAATTATCTTAAGTAGGGGCAATCGTATGTCGAGGTGCCACTGTACGCAGGTACGACAAAAATGAGGATAATACATAATACAGGGTACAAAACACAATCAAATCTGCCCATAGTAGGAAAACAGCATGTCAAGGCTTTGGGAATAATGATGTCCGACGACCTAACGTTTAGGGAGCATAACCAAGCAAATATTGTGTTAGCCAGAAAAAATGATAGGATGGATTACGAGAACTTTCAAATCCAGGGATCCCATTACAATGGTTGTACTGTACTTTTCAAATCACCTGTGCTGTCCCGTACTCACCTAATTGTGGTGAGTACTGCTCGGTATTCACTTTTTCCCTCAGAGCATGAGATTGCTGAAATAGGGGGAGGTTATCTTGAAATGATTTCGGGGCTTTTTAGTGTCCCCGCGGCCCGGTCCTCGACCAGGCCTCAACCCCCAGTAAGCAGCCCGTGACAGCTGACTAACACCCGGGTACCTATTTACTGCTAGGTAACAGGGGCATAGGGTGAAAGAAACTCTGCCCATTGTTTCTCGCCGGCGCCCGGGATCGAACCCAGGACCACAGGATCACAAGTCCAGCGTGCTGTCTGCTCGGCCAAACGGCTCCCTGGGGAATTCAGAGAACATATATGGCACTCATAGACGCGATAAAGCGCCTCAGTTATTGGGATCATCTCAAAGTTCTGCAAATGTACTCACTAGAAAGGAAACGAGAGAGATACCAAATAATATACAGGTGGAAGATACTGGAGGGTCAGGTCCCAAATCTGCACAGTAAAATAACAACGTACTGGAGAGGACGATATGGAAGAAAATGCAGAAGAGAACAAGTGAAGAACAGTAGTACCATAGTCACAATCAGAGAACACTGTATAAACATCAGAGGTCCGCGGTTGTTCAGCGTCCTCCCAGCAACTATAAGAAATATTGCCGGAACAATCGTGGACATCTTCAAGAGAAAACTAGATTGTTTTCTAAAAAAAATGCTGGACCTACCAGGCTGTGGTGGGCATGTGGGGCTGCGAGCCGCTCCAAGCAACAGCTTGGTGGACCAAACTCTCACAAGTCAAACCTGGCCTCGGGCTGGGCTTGGGGAGTAGAAGAACTCCCAGAACCCCATCAAGCTGGTAATATTAAATTTTCTGTCAAACAGAACACAAAGAGTAACAGTTAATCAAATAAATTAAGAGTCCAAGCACAGTGAAAAGCTCAGTATCACAGGGCACAGTCCTTGCACCACTGCTTTTCCTTATTCTCATATCAGATATTGACAAAAATACAAGTCACACCGTCATGTCATCCTTTGCAGATGACACAACAATCTGCATGAAAATTACGTCTGTTGAAGACATTAAAAGCTACAAGCAGATTTTAATAAAGTTTTCAACTGGGCAGCAGAAAATAACATGATGCTTAACGGTGATAAATTCCATGTACAGTACTTAGGTACAGTAAAAATGAGAACGTTAACTTCTCACACCTGTCGTTACACGTAACAGGTGGGAGAGGTGTGTAAACTGTCTGTACACGTAACAGGTGGGAGAGGTCTGTAAACAGTCGGTAAATGTGACAGGTGGGATAGGTGTGTAAACTGTCTGTACACGTAACAGGTGGGAGAGGTCTGTAAACAGTCGGTAAATGTGACAGGTGGGATAGGTGTGTAAACTGTCTGTACACGTGACAGTTGGGAGAGGTGTGTAAACTGTCTGTACACGTGACAGGTGGGAGAGGTGTGTAAACTGTCTGTACACGTGACAGGTGGGAGAGGTCTGTAAACTGTTAGTACATGTAACAGGTGGGAGAGGTCTGTAAACTGTCAGTACATGTAACATGTGGGAGAGGTCTGTAAACTGTCAGTACATGTGACAGGTGGGAGAGGTGTGTAAACTGTCAGTACATGTAACAGGTTGGAGAGGTCTGTAATCTGTCAGTACATGTGACAGGTGTGAGAGGTGTGTAAACTGTTGGTACACGTGACAGGTGGGAGAGGTCTGTAAACTGTCAGTACATGTAACAGGTGGGAGAGGTCTGTAATCTGTCAGTACATGTGACAGGTGGGAGAGGTGTGTAAACTGTTGGTACACGTGACAGGTGGGAGAGGTCTGTAAACTGTTAGTACATGTAACAGGTGGGAGAGGTCTGTAAACTATCGGTACACGTAACAGGTGGGAGAGGTCTGTAAACAGTCGGTAAATGTGACAGGTAGGATAGGCGTGTAAACTGTCGGTACACGTGACAGGTGGGAGAGGTGTGTAAACTGTTGGTACACGTAATGGGTGGGAGAGGTGTGTAAACTGTTGGTACAAGTGAGCATTCTGGTACCATATTTATGGTTAAATTTGATCCAGTTTTTATCTATGAAACTTAGGTTTTGGTACTTTCCATGGTTGCAATAATTATATAGGTACAGTACCTGTTTACTAGACTGTTTACACCTGATGTCTGTGAGCCTAAACATCAGGTGTAAGAAACTTGACCAATTCTCTCAATTTGGCTGACAAACTAACTTGATCCTGTTAATTGCAAACCATCTTTGCTAACCACTGCACAAGAGCTATTATCAGTTTGTCCCTGCATTTCCTGTGGGGCCAATACTAGCATGTTGTCCAGTCCAATTGTGTATGATGCTAATGAAGGACTAATGGGTGTCTTACTTGTGGGAGTCGAGCACTATACAAGTATACTAGCTAAACACTTTATCCTCATTACCTTAACTTACTTGGAAGAGCAATCGAATGAATCTGCTGTGCTGCTTTTTTAATTCACTCATCCTTATATTTTAGCTATCCAGTATATATGCTTCCTGTGGAAAGTTAACAGAATTCAGGTCCCATAAGATTGGATCATATGTCAAGGTGACATTCTGCACTGACTGCAGTAGCTATTTAAAATGTGTTTTATATTTTCATGTGTCAAGTTTTTACATACATTTTACATACATTTTTGTATTTAAAACTTAATACTTTATGTTATTCTTGTTGCTTGTAAACTAAGAAAGATGTACAATCAAATGTTTAACCCCTTAACTGCCCAGCCTCCAAATATAACACCCCCCCCCCCCCAGTGCGCAGGAAATAAAATCTCTGGAACAAGTTCTTTTCTGTTTTTAGAGTGTCAAAAGCCCTTCCCTGAGTAAGGGTATAGTAACAGAAGGTCGAAATTGTAAGTACTTTAGCTGCTATGGGGTCTGTAAGTTCGTGCGTGACGTCATCATTCCCTGGTCCCCCGGGGCCGGTAGGGCACTCGGGGCAGGATGAGCTAGTTGCCGCGAATATATTTTTTGTTCATTTTCTGTGCACAGTTCCAAATACATTTTATATGCTTTTACGTGCCAATCCTATGTATAATGAACACGTACACTATATTATGGCAGTAGAACGTCCATACTGTCCGAAGACACTGTGTTACGTGCATGACACGTGTACACATATCCGGCACATATTTCCATTGTATTATGCTAATTTATGTATATATACAGTCTATTTACACACTATATACATTGACCATGAACACACTCAGAACTCCGCGAGTGTCAGCTGCCACACCCTCACTCCTCCAACATACAGTCTCCCCCTCACTCCTCCAATATCTTACTCGCCAACATTGCTCCTCTCACCATACTGTTATTGTTTGTATTACACTATTTACACATGTTATGTATACCTATCTACATGTTTTATTCAACAAAACTATGCAAGTAAGCCGGTATTGTCCGAACTTTACAGTGGTACACTGCATGAGAAATCACACAGCAGCCAGCAGACGATGCTTCGGTTACGTCACCTCCCTCACCAAAATAGCTCCTCCCAACATACTCCTGTTGCTGATACTACACTATATACATACATTGTATATACCCATGTACAAATGTGTTCACCATAGCGAACCACTAAGCTAGTATGATGAGCAAAACAAGAGTGGCTGTCACACAGTGAGGCTACCTTGATTCTCTCCATCGCCACAATTCCTCCTCCCACAATACTACACATATGTACATGGGTATATACGCACATTGTATATACCCATGTACATATGTGTTCACCGTAGCAAACCACTAAGCTAGTATGATGAGCAAAACAAGAGTGGCTGCCACACAGTGAGGCTACCTCGATTCTTTCCCTCGCTCCCTCACCACAATTACTCCTCCCACAATACTATGCACAGTGTTTATTATCACCACAATCCTGCTGTTATCACAATACTGGTCACTAAATCCTGTAAATACATAATTGACCACAAGTTTATTTTGTAAAGGAACCTAAGAAGTCGTTTGAAGATTCCTAGATGGACGAAATAATGCTGTGGTGCTGTGGCTAGCGCTGTGAACATTGTGAACAGCATTGAATCACTAATATTTGAACATTGTACGCAGTCATTATCACACTCAGGCTCTTCTATAATACTATCATGGCTAAATAAAACAAGTTATATACAGTATATATTTTGACATTGTTAGGCGATGCTGTGGTCACAAGCTGAACAGCAGTGCTATGAGCACATGATGCGTGCGCCGGCCTTGGTTGCTCACTCACTACTGAGGCTCTCACACCCGAGAATGTGGACCACGATTTTTTTTTAAAGATGGCGTCTGTTTACAAGAGCCCTCAGACAGCTGCTGTGAACCCCATGTAGCCGCAGGAGTTTTGAATGGAACGTGAAAAATACAAATACCCGGAGGCGCACCCCAGATGTGGGCCTGCAGGCGCGTTGCACAGTTAAAGGATTAATTTTTGTACTAATATAATTTGTTCACCAAACTTTTAACTTTCAGGAGTGATGAGGAAGATGATATGGATTTGGAAGATGGTTTACTGGATGATGTGGATTTTAATGAGGAAGTGACTGAACAGCAAAGTGAAGATATGCAGGTTAGTATTTTCATATAGTGTTAATTCTTAAAAAAAATATGTACTGATTTTTAGCTCTATAGCATGTTCCTCACTCATTAGTAGCAACTAGATGTTTAGAGCCTTGCATAGTTTGGCAGTGTTATGATTACAATCGATTTTTAATAGAGAAATGCAAATTCAGCAACAAAATTATTTGCTTTTCTAATGCCAAAATGAGGTTGGCTTTACATGTATTGTGCAACCTCTTGAATTCAGACCTCATTAAAATGTAACCAAACAATGTACAGATTTTGTTACAGATTGCTTCTGAAATCAAAAAGATCCTAATTCTTGTAGGTGATTGCCTTGAAATTAGGTTATCTTGAGATGATTTCGGGGCTTTAGTGTCCCCGCGGCCCGGTCTTCGACCAGGCCTCCACCCCCAGGAAGCAGCCTGTGACAGCTGACTAACACCCAGGTACCTATTTTACTGCTAGGTAACAGGGGCATAGGGTGAAAGAAACTCTGCCCATTGTTTCTCGCCGGCGCCCGGGATCGAACCCGGGACCACAGGATCACAAGTCCAGCGTGCTGTCCGCTCGGCCGACCGGCTCCCTAAATTTAAATCTCCCTAATTTAGTGTTGACTTCATAAAGTAATTTTCAGTTGATAGTATTTTTCAATATTTTTAATACAGTGGCACCTCGACTTACGATAATTTCAAATAACGATATAAATTTGATAGGAAAATGTGACACGATTTACGATAGTGTCGTCGACTAACAATATTTGCTGGTTCATGTTCAGGTAGACCGAAAGCATGGTTCCCGGTCGCGAGGGCCGACCTGCCTCAGTTTACTAGAGCCACCCACTTAGTGGCGATCACGCTTATAAGAAATTCTATTTTTTGGTGATTTTTTGCTTTTGAACATAAAACTGATTATTAAATATCGTGCCATGTTGACCAGACCACACACTAGAAGGTGAAGGGACGACGACGTTTCGGTCCGTCCTGGACCATTCTCAAGTCAAGGTTATCCACTATACTTGCTAAGAAAAAGGACATTATAAGTGCTAAAGTGGCAAAAGGCATATCAATAATCATGAAACATAGAACACACACACTTGAGGATGTTGAACAGTTATTATTAATTTGGATACACAGCAAGGAGTTAGCGGGTGGTAAGAGTTTCAGAGGGCATCATTTGTGAAAAATTGCATGAAGTCCTTTTAAAGAAAACCCCTGGAACAAGTGATGCAGATGCGAAAGAGTTTAAGACATGCAGGGGATGGTTTGAAAATTTAGAAAAAGAAGTGGCATTCATAGTGTTCTGAGTGTTGTGTGTTGCGAGCTGGTGGAAGAACACAGTGAAGAACTGACCACCGAAGAACTTAACAATGAGCAGCAACAAGAGACAGCTGAGGAAATTTCTTCAGGGGAGGAGGAGGAGACAGTACAGAATGTCCCTTCCTTATTAACCCTTGTATGGCGCCTGGCTATTTAGCATGTGTCACCCACAGGCGCATACCAAAAAAAAAAAAAAAAAAAAAAAATTCTTCTAAACCTGTTAATTTGTGTTCATTGATCATGGGAAAAATAATAATAAAATCATAAGTGGCATATATTGCATGCTATAGGGCGGGGAAGTCTGGCAAAAAACAGGCGCTGACTCAGCGTGCGTCCCAGACGGTCTGTTGCTCTTCAGCTGTCAGGCCGGAGTTGCCACAAAGAGATAATTACCTAATTATTTCAATGTCTCTGATTGATTTTTCGTAATTTTTTTGCTGTAATATTATTCAATAGTGTGTAGTGTGATATATTTATATAATAAAATGAGTGAATCATCGCTGTACTAAAAAATATGGTGTGCATATTGATTCAATAATGTTCATCAAACAGTGAACAAATACTTTGTCGGTTATTACATTATATATACAGGTTATATATAAGTATCTGCATGTTTTGTTTACCATAACGAACCATTAAGTTGCTATTATGAGTCAAAAAGTAACGAGGAGTGACCGCCACACACCAGCCAGCCACTCTCTGCCACTCACTCCCTCAACACCTCACTCGCCCACATTCTCCTCCCACAATACTGTTTTTGCTTTTATTCACTATATACAGACGTTATATATAAGTATCTACATTTGTGTTCACCATAACGAACTACTAAGTTGGTATGCTGAGTGGCAGTGGCAGCCCGCCAGCCACTCCCTCCCTCACCTCACCTGACTTGCCACCAGTTTCCTCCCACCATACTGTTTTTACTTTTATATACAGACGTTATATATAAGTAGTTACATGTTTTGTTCACCATAACTGTACATCTAAGCTTGTATGGTGAGTAAAGGCACAAAAACATAGCTACTTACACAGTCAGCTGGTGGCGGCCGCCCTCAAGGCCAGACGCACTAATATTTCTCCTCCAACAATTCTGTTTGTAGTGTTATTACGCTATATACACACATTATATATAAGTATCTACCTGTTTTATTCACTATACTTGTACAAGTAGACTGGTATGGTGCCCAAAGACCATAGTGATCACCAGTAAACAACATGGTAAGTCGTGCAGACGACGCACCTCCCTCACCAAAATGGCGGCTCCCAACCTACTCCTCTTGCTGTTATTACACTATACACACGTTATATATAAGTATCTACATTTGTGTTCATAGCGAACCACTAAGCTGGTATGGTGAGTGCAGTCAATAAAAGGTGGCCACACACAGTCAGAAGACAACGCCACCACCCTCCCTCCCACAGCATTACTCCTCCCTCCATGGAGCACAGCACTAAATATCACCACAATTCTGCTATTAGCAGAACCCTGGTAAGTTTTATCACAGTCAGGGGTCTTCTGTAATATCATCATTGCTAAATAATAGCAAAAACATGTATATTATGGCATTTTTAGGCGATGCTGTGGTCACAAGCTGAACAGCAGTGCTGTGAGCTCATGCTGCATGCGTCAGGCTTGGTAGCTCACTTGATACTGAGGCCCCTCACACCCTGGAATTTGGCCCACGACTTTTTTTTAAAATGGCGTCTGTTTACAAGAGCCCTGATGAAGGTGTGGTGAACCCCGTGTATCCGCGGGCCATTTAAATCTTGCGCGGTACTCCAAAACATCGTATGATGCCGAGCGCAAGTTACTGCAAGTCACTCAACGCATCATATGATGTGTTGCGCAACTAATGGGTTAATTAAGAAAATGTGTGCAGCATGGGAAGAATTGCAAACTTTTGCTGAAACGACTCGCCCAAATCATGGTGCAGTAGGCTGTTGCCTTAACCTTTTTAATGACACTGTGATGCCTCACTACAGACAAAAATTAAAACGTATGGAAAATCAAAAAACTATGGAACAGTTTTTAGTGAGATAAGCAGTGAACCATAACCAGGTCCTTCTTGATGTGGCTGCCCAGTACTTCCAACTTTGGATACAGCCAGACCATGTAATCATCTCTGTGTTAACTTATGTTAACTTACTCTAAATGTTGTTAACTTACATTACTTGAGAATTATTATACATTTTTCTTTTGATATTTGATTTTTTTTGAGTAGCAAAGATGTTCTGGTGGCAAAAATTGAGAGGATCTTATGTAAAGTTTTCAGTAAGTTTTATAAAGTTGTTTATAAGTACACTGTCCTTTACTATTGTTAATCACAATATTGATGATCGATAAGGTAACGAAAAAGTTTTTAATCATACTGTATTTTTATTAATATACTACAACAAAATCATGCTTTTGCTGGGTCACAAGACAACATGAATTGAATGTCCCAGAAAACAGTAAGACACTAAGGCTATCAAGAGATAAATAAAATGCTGTTCTGCATTACACTTTCATGTCCTTAATTTGTAACAAATAATAAGGATCCCAGTACAGTAGTACTGTACAGTCGGGTTTGTTCTCGACTCACAATTGAGAATTTTGGGTTTGAATACCGGGCGGGACAGATATGGTGTGGCACACTTTCTATTACCAAATGTTCATTTTCACCTAGCAGTAAGTAGGTGTCCAGGAGTTAGTTAGCTTGTTGTAGGGGTAGCATTCTGGGGAGGGTCAGTAATTAGACCTTGTGAGGGGGGGGGGTATCTTGATATAAGCCTAACAAAATTAAAATATATATATATATATATATATATATATATATATATATATATATATATATATATATATATATATATGTCGTACCTAGTAGCCAGAATGCACTTCTCAGCCTACTATGCAAGGCCCGATTTGCCTAATAAGCCAAGTTTTCCTGAATTATTATATTTTCTCTAATTTTTTTCTTATGAAATGATAAAGCTACCCATTTCATTATGTATGAGGTCAATTTTTTTTTATTAGAGTTAAAATTAACGTAGATATACGACCAAACCTAACCATCCCTACCTAACCTAACCTAACCTATCTTTATAGGTTAGGTTAGGTTAGGTTAGGTAGCCGAAAAAGTTGGGTTAGGTTAGGTAGGTTAGGTAGTCGAAAAAACATTAATTCATGAAAACTTGGCTTATTAGGCAAATCAGGCCATGCATAGTAGGCTGAGAAGTGCGTTCTGGCTACTAGGTACGACATATATATATATATATATATATATATATATATATATATATATATATATATATATATATATATATATATATATATATATATATATATATATATATGTCGTACCTAGTAGCCAGAACGCACTTCTCAGCCAACTATGCAAGGCCCGATTTGCCTAATAAGCTAAGTTTTCATGAATTAATGTTTTTTCGACTACCTAACCTACCTAACCTAACCTAACCTAACTTTTTCGCCTACCTAACCTAACCTAACCTATAAAGATAGGTTAGGTAGGGTTGGTTAGGTTCGGTCATATATCTACATTAATTTTAACTCCAATAAAAAAAAATTGACCTCATACATAACGAAATGGGTAGCTTTATCATTTCATAAGAAAAAAAATTGAAAAAATACATTAATTCAGGAAAACTTGGCTTATTAGGCAAACCGGGCCTTGCATAGTAGGCTGAGAAGTGC